TATTTTCTACTGTGAATCTCTTCCCATTGTTTGTCGTTTCATTTCCCCACCCTTGTATTCTTTCTGCAAATAGAAGGCCATCTACGAAACCTTTAAGCCAGTCCACTACTTCTGATTCCATTATGATAGTTGCTCGTCGATCTTCCCTGATTTTCAATAGCTCTTCCCTCTGCTTGTTATTTCCTCCATAACGACCTTCTTCTTCTCCAACTGAAGTATTCTTTTCCATTTTGTTGCCTGAACGAAACTCTCCATTTCGGCTTTCTGCTTATCCTTGGTCTTTCATCAACATGAATTCATATTTACCAAAGACTGCATCAGAGCCATCTACGAAACCTAAGTCTTTCAACTTCACTCATCTTTTTTTTTCTTCTTTTAGAATTCTCCCCCTCCCCCTTGTTTGGAGCTTTTATCTAAGTTACTTCTTGTACTTTTTTTCCGATCCTTGCTAAATTTTTTAATTGCCTTTTTAGTTCCAGTACCACTCTTATTAATCTCCCTCTCATTTTCCTTAGAAGTAGTCCCAATAAGTTCAGCCCCCTCTTCTGATCCCAACCTGAATGAATTTCCACCTCTACCAACTGCTCGAAAAGGATCACTATTAATTCCCAGATTTGCTCCCCTTCCTCCTTAGACCCTTCTACAGCCTCACCATCCCCTATCTCTTCTGTTACTCCCACCGAGTCGCTAGGAATGGCAGCTGTTGGGCAGGACCTGGAAACACCTGCAGGCTAGACAGACAAGACAACAGGAGAGAGAGAGAGGAAGATTAGCCAAATCACAAGAAGGAACCAAAGAGGTTTGGCACATCATGCCAGGCTTCAAAGGGTCTGCACTAAGTTCTGCAGAAGACTAAACAAAAGGGCTTTTAAATTGGGGGTTCTCCTCCAAACCAACCTTTGAAGCGCAAGCCGGGGAGGGGGATAGATCTGTAGCTTTGCTTGCTGATTGCAGAGATGAGGGAGACACTCTACTAACAACTTGGCTTTGTCTCTGGACAAGGATAGGATCTGCTCCATCTTTAACCGAGGTCTTATCCTCGCCCAGGTGAGGAACTATTGGTCCGTAGCTCTTCTGAGAGTCGAAAGGAAGTCCAGTTGGGGCTGGTGAAGAAGGTTCGAACAGAAGTCTTGTTCCCATTTCCATTTCCTCCATTAAACTTTTGCAACACCTACTTTTGACGCTGCCTATACTGGAACCTCCAGAAATTTCCTCATCAGTCTTTTCCCCTTCACAGTTTACCCAATCTGAATCAAACTCGTCCTCTTCCTCTTTGCTTCTGCTATACCTTGGATTTGGTCGTTCAGGGCTGGTGGAGTAGGAGACCAGCCTCGGCCTCCAAGACAGCTTTTCCGCAGCATTAACAGTGGGAACCTTCGAACAGGGCTGAGCTTGGGACGATGATAGACCTGTTTTATCATCTCCTTTTTTTTGCCTCTCTCATCATGTGGTCACTTAAAGGAGCATGTGACCTTAGCTCTAAGTTGGGCCCTGGTCCAATTGAAAGCCCATTTACTGAAACACCTTCTTTCGGTTTAGGCCCAGATTTAACTTGTTCTGAATTCTTCAAAGGCCCAGCCCCTTCATTAATCGAACACACCTTAGGCCCAAAGTTAGTTGCAGTAGATCTTAGCTCTAAGTTGGGCCCTGGTCCATTTGAAAGCCCATTTGCTGAAACACCTTGTTTCTGTTTAGTTGCAGTACACGTGCCAACCACACTAACACGAGAGCCTTCACATTCATCTTTTGCATTTTCTCCCCTTATCAGAACCTCTGCGTAAGTCATGCAACAGTCGAATGGTTTATCTTTGCTTGCACGCCTCAACTTTTCCACTTTCATAGTACCTTCTGTGTTCTGCAACCCCAAAATTTCCATTTCCGAGTAAAGTTCAGCTAGTTTGAATTCAGCCAATCTCTGCGACCCACATAGGTATTCATCTTCAAGCTCTTCATCTTCCACTCTCCTGCATTCCCTCCACAGAGCTGCTTCAATGAAGACCAAGATCCATGCTGAGTAGAAAACATCATCAGCTAGCACCTGAACCTTTCTTGGGATTTCTTCAGGTTTCACTCCGTTCATTCTCAAAGCCACTGAACGAAGATCTAAAGCAAAAACACTTTCAAGTTTTGCCTTACACAAAGAGGCAATCGACTGGAAGATCACCCTCTTCCACAGGTGGAAAGGGAGCCCAACAATCCGAATGGTTACACCATCCTCCACTGAAAAATCTTTAGAGTTGGAGCTAGGGGACCATCTCATCATTGTAGCCACCCGTCTTCAATATTAGACTCAAAACACTGACATCTAGCTCTTCTCCCAACAAATCTAGAAGAGATTTACGATCTTCAAAAGGAGTAAACAGTATTGGTCCTTTTACCTTCAATTTTCTAACCAAGTCTTCTGCTATAAGCGTCCAGTTTTCTGGTTTCTTTTCAACTTCAACCACCAATTTCTTTTCCTAAACTACCTTTTTTCTGTATTGTAAGCCACTTTATCAATACCCAGACCATTCACCAAGAAATGACTTTCAGTTTCTTTTTCCTTTTCAGGGTAAGGCTCACTTGTTTCTCCACATCCCTGCTTCACCCCCATCTTTTTCTTTGTTTCTTCCAAGAAAATTTGTAACAAATTTTTAGTCTCACTCCAACTTGATCCATTTTTTCCTTCGGGAATTCATACTAGCTGTTTCTTCCCTCTTCCGAAGTATTCAACCAATGCCAAGAACCTTCCCTTTTTGTTCCATCTTCTTTCAGCAAAGTACCTTCGATCACCTCCTTCTTTGGAGCTTTTCCATTCCGCTTCTTGTCTGTTTGAAGTGCCGTTTCCACGAAATTTCTGAACCATTCGACCACAGCAGTCCCAACCAGCATAACCATGGCTTTCTGCAACTCCCTGATCTTCAGTGTGATCTTCCTTTTCACTTTAAGTCTCTCAAATAGGACTGTGTTTGCCTCAGCTCTTTGAAGCCTTCTCCAGGTTGTTATCTCCTCGAACTCCATGTTATCTCAATTGAGAATTGTCAGTGCCGACTGTATAGGGGTAGTTTAGTTTTTCTATTTATGTTTAAGCTGATGTGTAATGTTTATGTTAAGTGATGTGTCCCATACTTAAGCAGGGATGTAATAGTCTTTTGTTTTATTGAATAGAAACATAAAAATATAACCTGGCCGACTAGAGAGAGTGATTTTGCTCTCTAGTACAAACCAGCCTTTTCCTTCTCTTCCCTTTTCTCTTCTTTTCTTCTTCTCCTTTTCTCTCTAGTACTTCTTCTAAGATCTCTCTAATACTAATTCTAACAGGATTCTAGTGCATATCAGAACTTTATCGAGAATATATTTGAAGTCTTCTTGCACTCAACATTTCAAGTATGTGAAACTTTCGATCTATTTATTTTCATCTCCTAGAGGCGTTACTTCAAGTAGCTGGTATGGTGTTAAATATCTTGCATCCCAATCCTAGGAGATTGGCCCTCATCTCTGTAATGCCACTTGAGACAAGCCCAAACAAGTCCATACTGGGGTTTGGGTCCCCCACCCCAAATTTTTGGCACATATATAAAGAGATTCTTTTTGTATTGTAGTCATAATTCATTCCATTTTAGAATTAGAGATCATATATTAGTTGAATTCTTGTTGCTTGTTTTGCAGAAACTTTGCTATTTAAGATCCTATTTGCAAGAAATAAAGCCTTAAGTGTTTGAAAGATCTTTGTTTTTGTTTATTTCAAAAGTCAAAAGACCATTACTAGTAGAGGTGCTCACAGTTCGGTTAACCAAACCATGGGCTCTTTTTTGAAACCGAACCGGTATTACCAGTTTTTGCAATTCCCCAAACTGATACCACTAGCTAACCGTTGACCAGTTCAGTTCTTCGGTTTTTGGTTTTTTATATTTATAATATATATTACAAACAAATATATAAATATATAATATATTATAAATACTATAAATATATAATATATTATATTTTTTAAGAAGGTAAAGTATTGTATTGTATTGAAATATGAATGAAAACCAGTAACATCAGCCCATGTACAATGAGAACCTGTACATTGGGAATATACAAAGGTCCATCTTGCGAAAAAGAGAAAAGCAGGACACCATTCAAAGCCCTTTGTACACTTAACAGGAACACAAAAAGCCTATAACCTTGTTCCTAACTGAAGCTACACCAGAACAATTGTTATCAAAGATTTGGTTGTTTCTTTCCTTCCAAAGAGCCCATAGGATGGCAGAATTCCTCCAAAGCAGTTTGCCCCTAGCATTCAAACCCTTGAGTTATATACATAGATAATTATAAATATATTATATATTATAAATAGATAATATATGATATATATTAAAAATATATAATATATAACATACATAAATATATATATATCGGTTGGTACGGTTAACCACCGGTTTTTTCTAGGTTAACCAAAAACCGAACCAGTGCTTTGATTTTTCAAAAATACCAAACTGTAACCAAACCAATCGATTCATTAACCACATTTTTTGGTCCGGTTTTCTCGGTTCGGTTCAGTTTTTTATGAGCACTCCTAATTACTAGTGTGCAAATAACAATAAGAGGTAATTCAGTACATGATAAAACATTACAAAAGTGTAAAATATGAAAGAATCCATTAAAAAAAGACAATTTTAAAAAGGTGCATGCCTGCACGGAGGCACAAGGTGCACTAGATGTGCGCCTTTTGAAAGGGGCCACACTTTGCTTCAAGCAAGACATTTACACTGAAATGTGCTTAACCTGTTCGTCTGGGCACACCTTTTAAAACATGGGACAGAAGCATCTCAGAGTCTAGTAAAATATGAGATAAAAGAAATTTTCTAGTGGGATCTATCCAACTCTTTGCCTTATCTTCATATTTTTTTGTCAACACGTATTTCTAAAAAATGTCTTCCAAAAAAACAATAAAATAACATAGGGAATCTGTTGTTTAGACAGATATCCGTTTATGCAAAGACACATTTAATATTCCATCAGGTGTACCTCATCCTGTAGTGCACAACTAACCAGAACCTAGGTGTACCTCTTCTAATTTGTTGCTATTTTTTGGTTAATTAATCTTCAATTTGATGTTGAACACATTATTTACTATATTGTAGACTGTACCTAAGAGTTTTAAACAATTTAGTCTATGTAGTCCTTGAACACAAAGGCTACAACCTTTGCATTAATAACATGACACTGAGCAATTGATCTATAATGCTTTTTAAGTTTTCGTTTCTTTCAGAATTTAGATTTTCTATCCTTGTATATAAAATTTTTCTTTTGTTCATTTTTCAAAAGTGGTGTCTCACATCATTCAGGCACACCCTTCACCTTGCACCTTCTACCTCAGGTTCTAGGTTCTTGCACTTTAGTTGCACTTCTTGCTTTTAAAACACTAATTAGGAAATGGAGAAAAAAAGGTCATAAGCTTTATCATGGATAACAGTTTGACTACTTAGGGTTTACCCACTACATGGATCATGATATCTCACAAAGTTTAGTGACCTTTACCCATGTGAGTTGCATTGACAAATAAAAACAAAGGTAATACATATAACAAATATGAGGAAGTATGAATTAAGATGCCTACAACCAGAACTTAAAACTATTAGCATTACAATATTTTGTAAGGATTGATGATTAGATGCCCCAGAAGAGAAAGCAAGAAGTTTAGAAAGCTCCCTCCGCAATATTGACATGTAGACCTTCTTTTGCAAGGTTACTAAAGGTGCCATCCTATCAAAGACAAAAGTTTGCACTGATTATTACATATAAGCAGTCCAATTAAAATATATAAATAAACTATTTCATACAAGCAGATGGAATGATTTTAATGATGATAAGAAAATTTCCGGAACAAGGCATTGGGAGATAACAGCTAAAATGACTGAACTGAAAAGTGTATTACTTTATCTTTTAGTGAATAAGTTTTTTTTTATCAGAAACGATAACTTTCATTAGAGATAAATTAACCTGAAATACAGAATTCAACCCTTATTAGAAAAGATTGATCCAATAAACATCAAACATTACAGCACTGCCCAAAAAAGACTCTCCCTTGCAGTCCCTTGTTTTGCTAGGGCGTCAGCAAAACCATTTGCTGATCTCCTTACCCACTTGAACCAAACACTCATCTCCCTTGTTATGCTAAGAGTTTCCCTTATCAGCTGTCTATATTGCCAAATTCCCAACTGCCCCTGATTGCATCCACCCAATTACCAACTTGGAGTCTCCCTCTATCTCAATCTGCTGTAGCCCCAACTGTTTGGCCAATTTTACACCTTGATGTAGTGCCAAGATTTCCGCTCTTAAGGAATCTCCAACTCCTATTGGMCYWGAAAACAAAGCCATTATCTTGCCTTCATTATCTCTGAAAACACCTCCTATACCAGATGGGCCTAGATTACCTATAGAGCTTCCATCAAAGTTCAGTTTCACCCTTTG